ACGGCGTTCGCGTGTTTTAGGTATTTTGAGACCTGAATATGGGGACGTTCTTATTTTCTAGAGTGGGGGGGGGGTTTGGTAGTGGCCTTTAAGCTGTAACAAAGGTTTTAGTCTCATGTCGCAAGTTAATCGAAATGGCTCCGACCATTTTGAGGTAGAAAAACATAAGATATAGTGTCCCTGATTCTTGAGCCAATGGTTATAGGGCCAATTTTTCTATCGCCACATATGTGACTTCTTTGCTCCGCTGGCGCCTGAGCCAACATCAACCCCAGTGCCGGCATCAGATACCGACGATGATAGATGATCAGCAGCCTCCAATTACGTTGATGGCAGCTTGAGTCGTCCATCCGTTGGAATGGAGAGTTACAAGCAGGTTTCCCCCGAGTTTCAGAGGGTTATTGCCGTAATCTCTGAATTGATCTCACTCGGATCTGTTGGCCGAAGCTGCACATTCTGCTTACCCAAGGTAAGTTTCAATTACCCGATAGTAAAAATCGATCCACTATCAACCCAGGCCTGAGTCGAGTAACCGTTAATTTTCAATGCTAACTTTACCCCGCTACTTTCTTTTCCTCCTTTTTTTCCGTTTGAAAGACATAATGACGTGGTCAGTTGAACTGTCTAAATCTCAGCTGTGAGCTACTTCATTCGGATCAATCATCCATCAGACGGAACTTCCATAGATCGATGCGTTTTCGTCCTGCTCTTGTTAGAGATGATCTCTTTCGGTGCCGTCTTCATGGATTAAACTTACACATCCTCGCCCTGTTGCTCTGCGGCCTCGGCACGTGCGATCGTAGTGTACAGTTTTTTGACCAAAATTACACGTGGCATTTCGCACCGACCACTTCGCAATGTTTTTCCGATGTAAAACCACTCTGATCGCAATTGAAGCTTTTTCGATCCGCTCCACCTCGATTGTTCCCCTTTTCAGCTCCTCGGCCATTCCGTTGAAATGGCCGACGATAGCCACCTCGAACCGCACTGATTGGCTCGGTCTTTATCTGGAGCGCCCCCGCCAGCGCCATAGCGAGCACTCCAAAGTAAACTCTATACGTTTTTGCTAACTTATCTCCCCGCTCATGTGAGAGCGCAATCCGCTAAACCTCATCTGGAGTCTTAGTACAGTGACAGAGTTTCGTCAGCGCCTCCTCATTCGGAATATTTACTATAAATACATCTCGTAAAATTTGTCGCTCCAGCGTCCCAGGTCACACCTGACCGCCAATCCGCTCTGAACCGAGTGAAATTTTTCGATTGTCTCCTAATCTCGCTGTTTTCTGGATAATAATTGGTAGGTTTTGAACCTCTAGTTTCTCTCTTTTTTGAACCCGCCCTCGAATTCGTCCAAGACTCGCTGGTATCGGGTAGCTACCAAATACAGATGGGGTTTCCAATTATGAAGTTCGCCCTGGCCCCGCTCCCCCGAACAAAAATACAGGCTAGAAATAAGTGTTTGTTCCGCTTTAAAACGGTTTTTTTC